TGTACTTGGTCACTCCAAGATTTAAGAGAACCAAATTGCTCTCAAGACTCAAATAAATTCTCAGTCATATTTGTGATAAATCATTCCAGCATGAAAAAAAAAACTAAATCCTCCCAAGACTCAAAAAATTCAGTCATTGTTATTGTGATCAGCCATTCTGTAAAAAGAACCCAACAGCAATAATTACAGATAGCTTTGGCTATCATGGCCATGACAGGCACCATGCAACAATGGGTGCTTTGTTGGGCACTCCTGCAAGTATTACTGCCAGTTCCTCTCCATGAAGTTGGGGAACAGCAATGCAGAGCATAGTAGCAATGTCAACACCAACACTGATGGCCTCTATAACAACATTCAACCACCAGCAAACAATGACACAACTCCTCCTACACCAATGAGGAGTAATTATCATGATTGGTTGTTCCAAAATTAAACCGGTTGTTTTTACATGAAAGAGAATCCCATTCCCAAGAATTGATAAATCACAAGAAGCCATCATGCAACCATCAAAACAGAAGCAGTGGACAAAACCCCAAAACTAACCAAAGAAACATATGAGTATTGCATAATGCAATTTTAAAAAAATAGTGTTGTGAACTAGTAGTAGCAGAGGTACATTAAGAAGGTTTCTTCTGCTAGTACTACTAGCTGCTATGAGGACAAGGGATAGGACTCCTGGAGGAGTATGAGTGGGGTGGGACAAATATACTATGAAGGTAAGCTGGAATTGTTGAAAGTATTGCTGTCTCTTTTTGTAGTATGGTGTGTCAAAGACCACCATATTTTGAGTGATACTCTCCAGTGGCTGGTTGTTTGCTATAAGTAATCAATAAAGGGAAAAGTATGGAGTAATCAGATTGGTACCATTGGTACTAGTACTAGTGGAAAGAGTGGCATCATTGTGATTGTTCCCATAGATTTTTTCATAAACTCTGACATAGTGGAATGAGAAGGAAGCTTGAAAATTATCATCCAAGGAGAGACAAATCAAATGAAAGCTGTCAAAAATATATCATGTACTAGAAGTTATGAAAAGATCATACACTACTCCTTCTAGTACTGTTGCTGCCACTATGAAAAGTTGAATTTCTAAAAGGGTAGGGACCAGGAAAATACATACTGGCTAGATTGTTGCTGCTTTTGTCTTGATGCTGAAAAATATGTGCATTCATCAGATTGATTAAACAACAGGAGGGACTCCAAGGGAAGATTGGTAATTGCTGCAACAAGTACTGGTACTACATACAGGATTTCAAGGCAACCATGAGAAACAATAAATAGTGGTTCATCTGTTTTCTATCAGGGACTGGTGGTGATGGCACTGCTGGAAAATCAAAAGTAATTCATTCAACTCAAACAAGTGGGCGGGAGGATACTCTATCTTGTCAACATATATCTTGGACTTAAAACAACAAACCACCAGTTTAAATATGATATAATCTGGTAAAGCTTTCTTTGTAGTTTAATAACAAGCAGTTTAAAGGAAGAGCATCTCCAAATTATCAAGTCAAGAACTGTAAAACATTGGGGAAAACTCACAGAAGATATAGCTTGTGCAACAAAACATGCAGACAAATGTGCAAGAAACAATGGCATATTTTCTGAGTTTCTTAACAAGACACATTCCATATATATATATATATATATATATATATATATAGATTGTGAAAGTATCAACCTTGATAGATACTCTGTGTAGTAGTAGATGCTAAGAAAGTGGAATTGATATAGATGGTCCTTCTTGAAGAAGAAGGCTCAAAAACACTGCAGCAACAGCTAATTTTTTTATGTACACAAGAAAATAAATAAAAAAATTCTAATCAGGCAAGAAACTAATACAAATCACCCACAATTCTCAATAAACATTGCCAATACAAGAACCTTTCATAAATTACAGGCAAGATATTTGGAAATTATGTCATTTCTAACTTGGTCCTACTACACAAGAACAAGCAATTGGATTTATGTTGTGTTTTCAAGAAGAATACAAAGAAGAAGAGTTAGAGGAACTTCTACTGGTAGTATCGCTGGTTTGTTTGTAAGAACACCTTTTCTCCTACTTGCAAAAAGCACCACCACCACCAACAATAGCTAGCTTATATCATATACTAGTGTGGGCCAAGCAAAAAAAGACAGTTTAAACCGTACATTAGAAATACTACTAGATATACATACACGTATATCGATGAATATTCGTCGGATGCTGTACTCCCCCACCGCATTCGAAAGCTCTTTGAATTCTCTTTTTAACCATGTGCTTATCATACTACTTAAGCGTCCGTTGGGGAAAAAGTTATTTCCCAAACTGTCAGTTTGGGATTAAAACAGTTATACGGTTAAATTATACATATGCATGGAAAGATTGGCTTGTACTGCAGCGTACAGCGGGCACGTGCTGAATTTTTGAATCCCATCAAAATAGTTTTGCTCGCACATGCAGGCACATGCAAAATAGTTTTGATTGCACTTGCACAATGTAGCCCTGGTACAGGTCAAATTTTAATCCCACGAGTCATTACACGGGAAAAAGATGGCCAGGAATCCAAGGTTTAAACCGTACATTGGCTGGCCAACGCTATACGGCAATATGCAACAAATCCATTCATATTTCAGAAACATCAAACAACAGCCACATTGCTTTAATTCATTAGCTTCTAAATTATTTTCAGAGCAGTACTTTTCACCTTGCTGTCACTACTAACTCAGTTTTGCAATATAGAAAGACTTTGCTTTGCAATGCAGAAACTATTTGCGTTAGCAAGCCAACCTTTTTTATCTCTCCCATTAGCTGAGCTTGATTTGATGTTGTTGACATTGTTGCTTGTTATCACTGCAGCAGTGGTTTGACATGTAGAAGATCTGGATTGATGAGCAGTAACAGATGGAATCAGAGGGGTAACTGCTGCAAGAAGGGAGGGATTTGAGGCTTTCAAAGACAAAAGGGGGCCTCATAACAATTCAATAAATCTGAATCAAGCTGCTTGCCTTGCTTTTGTGAATATCTCCTGTCTTAAAGATCCAAGATGTCCCATCTCAGTTGTCAACATCAGCCTTGATGTTGGTGGAGACACCTACTGATAATAAAAAGTTGTGAGTGTGCTGGTGCTTCAGTAGAGCAACATCAAAAAGTGGCATCTTTGTTGGATCCACAATTTGAATGTTGGCCTTCAACTTTAGTAGTCTCTTCTTACATTTTTTTGGATCCAGCAATCACTGTTTCCTCTTCCAGGTATGTGGTTGTTACTAAGTTAGGGTAAGTGTCACATCAGGAGGGATCAATGTTTCAATATCTGGTGGTCCTTCTTGTAAGAACTCCAGCTTGGTACTGGTAGACATCATAGCTTGTTGTCACTCTCATACTCTATGAGTACTAGTAGTTTGTGCTGTTGGTAAGTAGTATCACTACCACTAGTCTTCTTTGTTTCAACTTCAATTTGGCGACCTATATAGTAGCCTCTACATATTTTTCCAGTCTTGATGTTGTTCTTTGTATTACACATTGTGTGATGCTACTAACTGCTTCTGCTGGTAGTACTAGTACAATGTTAAATAGGCAGACACTGACTTGTTTGGTTCCAAGATTTTCCTCCTGGTCCTCTACTAGTACAACAAGTACTAGTAGCACTGCCACCATAGGATTTTCCTGGTCTAGCACTGCTGCTGCTGCTACTACTACTAGCTACTACTACTGGTACTACTACTAGTAGTATTTCTCATGAAAATTTTCTTGTACTACTAAAACCAAAATACAAGTGCCAGTAGCTAGCCAGTCCAATATAGGTGGTGATACCAACCAAGAAAGAAGAAGAAGCCTGGTGTCTTTCTTGTCTTCTTGTTGTTCTTGTTGTTCTTCCTCACCATTTGTAGTACCTACTACTAGTACTATGGTGATCCTCCTCCACTCCTCCTCTCAAGAATCTAAATTTGGGATCTGGTGGTGCTGCTGGTGGTAGTCATCTATACTTCCCTCCTACTAGCCCTAGTAGTAGTCTTGCCCAATATGATGCTTATTTTTCATAAGAGCCCATTATTTGTTTTCTCATTGCTGATGGATTTTGGTTCATATTTTATTGGTCTTGTATTCAACCTTCGATAATGAAGTATGTGAATTGAAATTTTGCGACCTTGTGTAAGCTCGCGATAGCTCAGTTGGCAGAGCGGTGGACTGTAGAATGTCTTGATATCCATCGGTCACTGGTTCGATTCCGGTTCGCGAGACACCTTTTTGCATGCAAAATATTATTTCTCGCACAGTGCCGTCAACAGCTCCTTAGGCATAATCCTTACTAAGCCACGTGACTCGTTTTTGGTTTTGGGAAAAGAACTGAAAAGATCGACGAATACGAATACGTGATCGAACAAGACTGTCCCATACTACTCTACTGGTATTAGTAGTAGTACTAGAGGTTCTAGTAGTAGGCTGTTGTTACTGCTAGTAGTTACACTGTTTGTTACACTACTAGGACTAGTACTAGTGATGCTACTAGTAGTAGCAGCAGCAGGATCTCAGTCTTTCTGAAAGAAGAATTATGCTAAAGAACAAGGGTGGATAGGCGAAATGCATCTTGCTTGTGATTTAAAACTATATCATAGTTCTAGTAGTGAGGAGAGGAGTCTACTGGTGCTGCTGGTGAAGAGTATATCTTCATGTTGGTAGTAGTAGTACTACTACTAGTACTACTAGTCCTTCTTGTTTTTGCCATGCGATGTTGGTGTATTTGCCGCACACGCACTCCCGTCATGTCTCTCCAGGGTCTTCGAACAGCATTTCGTGTGCCTATCGAGTTTCGGATTTCACGGCTGCTGCGTAAGAACCCCAAACGTTGCACTACTAGGTACCGTACGGTACTTGTTGTTCAGAACGATCGGCTCGAGTAACTGGGATAATACGCTGCGTCTGTGTCGGTGGTGTGTGAATCGATCCTCTGTCGGAATTCACTACCTGCCACGCAACGAACACGCAGGAAGGGCATACTGGTATCGCATCCCTCGTCTAGCAGAAAACTATTCTTTGTTTCTTAGTACAATACTATTATGTTGTTTCGTAGCATCTAACGCATCGGCCGCAATCGGGCCTTGCCGTTCCCGCGAGCCGTGATGCCTTCCTTGTAGGTGCAGGCATCGCTCGATGGAATGAAGACGATCCCGTCCAGCATGGCGGCCTCGTCGTCGCTGTCCACCAGGTTGCGGAACCGGTTTCGGAAGGGCTGAGAAAGGCTCTGCACGAGCCGGTTCTGGGGGGATTCCTTCGCGCGTTTCTGTGCCATCTTGTCCTGTTCCTTTTCCATGGAGGTGAGAACGTCCCAAAGATTGAAGACCTCTACTCCCTGGGGTTCGTTCGGCAGGTAGGTGTCCTTGTCGCCACCGATCGGCTTGGTCTTCTGCCAGGCCTCCTGCAGGTCCTCGTAGTTGAAAAAGAGGGGGATCTCCTTGCGGACGCCCCCGCTGACCAGCGACTTGATGCGGAATCTGCGGCGTTCCATTCCGGGGACGTAAAACACGGGGATCCCGAGGTTCCCGTCCATGTGCGCGTAGTCGGCCTCCAGCTGGTTCTTGGGTTTGTAGGCCAGTTTGCGGTCTCGGATCGCCTGCTTGCGCTGGGCATTTCTATAGGCCAGGGCAGCGTTTCCGATGACGGCGGCCGAGGCGTGGTCCTTCTGGGACTCCTTCTCGTCGCTCGAGTCGGAGAAGAGGCCGATGCGCTCCTTTCCGCGGCAAAAGGCCGCGTAGTACAGCTGCTTCTTGGGCGGGAGGATCTTGTGGCGGAGGGAGCCTCCCTCCTTGGTGGGCAGGACGGTCCCCTTGTGAAAGTCGATGGGCTGTCCCGTCAGCAGTCCGTTGCCGAGGTTGCAGGCAGACCGAACGGCCTTTGCCAGCGAGACGCTCGTGATGCGAACGTCCGCGTCCTTCATGCCGTCCATCTGCTTGAACTCGGCGTGGGCACCAATGGCGTCGTCCGGGTCCATGTAGTACAGACTGATGGTCCGGTACCGGTCCTTTCGGATGCCCGCGGCCTCGTCGCCGCTCTTGGCGACACCGAGCATGCTGCCCTCGCTTTCGGCGCCGGCTGAAGCGTCCTCGTCGTCCTGGCTCAGCTCCTCCATGTTCATGTAGGCCGATCCCCAGGAGGTGGTGACCTGGAAGACGGGGTGGCCCATGATCTTCTCGTAGGGGGAGTGCGAGGCCGAGTTTGTGGGCCGGGTCGGGCTTCCCAGGATTCCGTTGAGGTTCAGGTGGCGGCGGACCCCGTCGACCAGCTTGCCCGGAAGGTCCGCGATGGCGGCGCTGTTGGCGCGGACGCCGGAGGACGATGCCGCCAGGAGCACCATCGTGCTGCAGGCCGCGAATTTCATGTTGCGAGTGTTTGACTTTGTGCGAGTGTGTTGCGGGTCTCTTGCGGGTTTGTTGCGTTGTCGAACGGAAAGGGTTTGTTGGGTGGGTTTTGTGTCAGGTACCAGGACTAGTAGTGCTTTTCCTCGATGCTCGATGTGTTTGGTTCGATGGATGCAATAATAGATGCACGTTACGGCACAGTTCGGATCCAGTGGCGATGCAATCTGCGGTTCGCTCTGTTGTTTGGTATGGGATTGTTCCGTTCGTTCGTTATTCAACGATGGATTGATTGCTCCTTTCTGTTTGTAACCTCGTTGCTCCACAAGATCTCAAGATGGATGCTCCTCGTTCCGGTGTTGGACTCGTGTTGTTGGGAAGGTGCGATAGTGTTGTTCCATCGGTTGCCAACGGTGACAGCGTACCGGAATCTGGTACTCGGACGTACGTACGTACGTAGAGTAGAACGGATCCAGCGGTGTTGTTCTCGGCACCGATTGAAGTGATGGGGACGTGTATGAGTACAAGTAGCACGATCATAGTATGGTACACGTTACTGGAAGTACGAGCAGGAGTACGTACCATAGCACAAAGTACGGGCGGGACGACGACTTCGATCGGTTCGATACGATCGGCAAAACCTTCCAGGTGGCGACGACAACAACAAAAAAGACGAGATCCAAACCCAGACGGTCTGTACGTAGACAGCAGTATGTGCACGAATGATTACTTCGAACCAAAACCAATGTTGGCCATCACATCTACTACTACTACTACTACTACTACTACTACTACTACTACTAGTATGTTTTGACAACAAGAAATCCATGTGCAGTAGAGGCCTGTAGGATTGGATACAGTAGATATTTCAGGTTCCTTATGTTGCCACAATGGCATTGAATTTGACTTGTTGAACAAATTTTTCAAACCACAGAATTCACCAGCACATATTTCTGCTGCATCATCCTTTTCTTGTTCATCTTCTTCTTCTTGCTGGTGATGCTGGGTCAAAGGCCACAAGGACAATTAGTACATCTATTTTGATAGACTCCCTTGTCTGAAGGCTCTACTCAATATCAAAGCTGATCAATATGCTAGTGACTATCATGCCAAGGTGCAAACGTCACATTTCATCACACCAGTTCTACTAGTACTAGTAGTACTATCCTCATCTTGTCCTTGTGCTGTCCTTCAGATTCAAC